ATTCACAGCCATAGTTAAAACTGGATGTATGTAGCAAGCAAGAATTCTTTTTCTAACTCTCAATGAAAAGGATATATTGCACAAGATGTTCTTCATTTGATAAAATGCAGTTTTTGCCTGTCCTATTCTGTTTGAGTTTCTTATCTCAGTTATGCATCTTCCATCTGATGTTTTCCATGTGTCCAGATACTTAAATTTCCTTTCCCCCATTGAATACGCTCTGGCCATCCTCACTGTCAGTGCTACCCAGATTGAACGACTCGAAAAGGTGCAAAATGAAGCCATGCGCATTATTTTGGGATGTACTAGAGACACATCCTGTGGAGCAATGAGGTATCTACTTGACTTTCCAACAATGAACCAAAGGATCAGGATGTGGAGGGCTCGGGCATATCTCAAAATATGCGCTGATAAGAAACACCACTGCATCAAGCGCTTTTTAGTGAAAAGGGCGACAGACTGAAGAGGGGGAAATCGTGGCTAGGTCGGGCAGAAGATGTTATTAGGCAAATATGCAGCCTAACCGACATCATACCTGGTGCAGAATGGATACCTGTGCCTCAGGCGTTTATTTGTACATTTTCCTGTATTGTCACACTCAACAGGCGATGTAGAGAAGAGAATCCTGTTGCTGTTAATGCAGAGGTCAACGCTCTCATCGGTGAAAATTCAGACGAAGCAGATGCAATAATCTATACAGACGGATCCGTTATACGCCAATGAAGAAGCGCATGGGCATTTACAGCACGCTCAGCGGGCAGAACAGTCAAAGAAACCAACGGCGCCTTCTCCATGACAACCAGCAGCATGACGATGGAGGTGATGGCAGTGACACAAGCGCTTGCCTGGCTTGAAACACAAAAATACACCCGCGTGTGTATACTCAGTGATTCAATGAGTATGATCCGGAGGGTTCAGGCAGGTTCAGTGCGAAGACAATGGCTTGAATCATTACAAAAGTCCACTGTTCGTGGAGTCACCTTTATTTTTGTTCCGGGACACGCAGGCGTCAATGGAAATGAAAGAGCTGACAGGTTGGCTGGATCCGCTATCACTACCGACGGTCAGCCTATGGATCATGCTGATATTATCAATGCCCTCAGAGAAATGGGAAGGATAGAGGACTTTGGTGGCAGTGAATCCACATCACTCGCCAGAATGGCAGACTTGGGAATTAAGATCGGCACAGCAAAAAACGAGACGCACACCAGCTACGCCAGAAGACTTGTTAATCAACATAGAACTGGTACTATTAGCCATCGGACGTTGGGGTTCATACTGAGGGGAGGATCTGAGCACCTATGGACATGTCCGGAGTGCAATGAGGATAACCCAACTAACTAACTAACTAACTTAAATTTCTGTGGTTGTCCCAAAATTACACCACTGACTTTTATTACACATTTAGAAATAATTCATATCTTTGATACCACTATTACTTCTGTCTTCCCATTATTTAAACTGAGGTCCATTCTTCCACTTTCTAACACCACAGAAATGTATTTGTATTATATGTAGCTACATCAAAAAACGCTAAAATATAATATTGATTTTTTGGTATCCTGGCCAGAGGAAGGAAGTGAAGTAGTTCAACATTTTAAATAACGTTCTCATGCAACGCATTCTGGGTACATGACGTCACAACCTCATTTACATATTTAGTTTTTGTGTGCTCGCCATTTTGGTAGCACCAAGTTACCGACACAAAGACATTTTTCAATCTGTAAATATCTTAGCCATCTGTGTAGATATATTTAATTTTGCACTCTCAATTTCTTGGAATATATTTTACCCAGGAGAACGAGCCTGCGTAAGTATACTGTGCATCCTCCCAGCCGAGTTCTTTGTCGTGAAAGGAGACCCAAAAAGAAAAAAAAAAATTCTGTTGCTATCGCTTGGATTTTTTCAGCATCGCAGTTTCAGCATTCCAGATTTGATAATCTGTTTTGATGACATTGCAAATCGTTGAAGATTGCAGTGTGTAGATTAACACAGTTTGCCAAAGTAACTTTGTAACTTGCAGCGCAAAGTATAGTTTTAAATAAACAATTCCTGCATTTTCTAAGTTGGTATCAGTTTAATTTCTGGAGGTTAGGTTAGCCTCAAGCGGTTAGGCATTTTGATTTTAACTAGATTTTCTGGTTCACCCTGGCGTTTTTAGACAACTAACTATTACTTCACTGAAAGACAATTTATAGAATACACCGATATGAATTTGTTGTTAACGTTAAACAGTATTATAAATAGTTTTACGTCCAAGGAAACGCCGTGGGTGGAAAGAGGCAGGCTTCTGCTCCAACTTTCTTGAAATTCGGATAAAACTTGCGGAAGAGGAGTTTTCAGTATAGTCCATCATACTAGACACAGATGCAAAAACGATTCAAAGATTAACTTTTAGATCTTGTCACCGGTTGTAATAACTAATGTTTGAACAACTAACTTTTCGGTAGTAGTCTTGCTTGGCTACGAATGGAAGCCAGTCATGCAACTTAATATTAAATATTATTACATTTACATCAGTTAAATTAGTTTGTTTCATTAGGTCTACTTACTACTAGCCTATTACTACTATGCACTCTGGGGCCCACTGTGCTTTTGCTGTGCCACATGTGGGGACAAGTCGAAAAGAATAGACCCACTGCCCCCTAAACAAGCATTTCGTAGAAGTCGAATAATCATTAGAGGTGTTTGCTTTGAAGTCAGAAGACTTCTGAGAAGTGCATATTTAATATTATCTGGGGGGCTGAGAAGCTAGTGTAACTAACAACGATTGCTAGAAGAGGCTAATAAAAGTAGATCTCTATAAACAACAAAATGAAAGAGACACTTCGTTGACCACGTAATGAGAAGAGAGACATTGGAGAACTCCATGACAACTGGAGATATCAGTGGAAAAAGGGGTAGAGGCAGATCGAAAAAGATAAAGCTGGATGGGCTAAAATGATGGCAAGTAGGGATATCATTAGGAGAGCTGTTTCAGGCAACCAGGGAATGTGATCTATGGATAATGGAGACGCATGAGCGCCTACGCCAGTTGGCAGGGCCCATGATAATGATGATGGGGAACTGGGTTGTCTCGATTTATATGGCATCTGCCTCGAGTGCTGGAAGTCGGACCCGGGTTCAAACCTCGGTGAAGGCTGTGATTTTTTCAGACTTCTAGTAATTTTCACTGGTCTCTGGGTAGTAAGATCAGACGCCTTTTTGTATTGTTGCACATGTAAAAGAATACCTTGGCAGTTGAACAATCAAAAAAGGGTAGCCTAACAAACAGTGCAGGTGCTGCCCGGGAAGAATTTGAGTTAAAAACCTGCCCAAAGTATTTCAGGATCCTCGCCGGTGCAATGGAGTTTGTGCACTGCGCTAAGAATCTTTAGACTCAGACGTGAAGTAGAATGGAGCACTCATGGGTTACACCCGTGTTCCATGTCGATCCGTTCAATAAACATAAACAGTATTATATAATATAATTATCAGGCCTGAAAGGTGAGAAACCAACAGTTTGCTTCGAGGTATGCTGGATCTGTAAAATGGAAGTGGGTTAACAAACAGAACTTCCCAACATGGCAACAGAGCTGAGACTATACAGCTGGTGAACGGGAAGAAGATTTACCCACATGGTGGATCTTTAATATTTGAGACTCTGCAGAAGGCTATAAAGATAGGAACAGTGGAACTTCATTCAGTGTTTTAGTTACTACTCATTGAGTGCTTAATCTTAATCGTCTTACAATATGGGGATGTAATGATTAATTAAGCAAGCGTGCATTTCTTTACCTGCTTGACAGAAATAGATGAATAACTAAAGAAGGTACAGTGTTAAGTTATTGGCACCTTTTCACTCCAGACGATAGTGCTAGGGGAGGCATAGGAATCACAGCTCTTAGTGATGCAGTGTGTGTGTCACTATAAGTAAGAGTTGCTCATGATAGCACCTCTTTCACAATTAATTAGAGCAACGGATTTCATGACCAGTGTTCATTGTTTGCATGTAGTTTTTTTTAAAACATCTTTCTCCCACAACTTTTAACCTATTCGTAACCAGTAATTTTTCCTTTGTTTCAGTTTTACTTTATCCTTCCTGAGTTTGCCTCTCCCTGGAACACATTGTGGCCTCTACTCATTTTTAGAATTTTACAATACAAAGGTGTTCAGGCAGGGCATGAATGGTGCAGGTTTTGAGGTGGATTCATGTGAACCTAATGCTCTGGACAGTGTTATTGCATCACCATCATCCAGTTTTCTGGTTTATTCTTATACAGGGTTCACAGTTTATTCTTTCATTATTTAATCCTTTTGTAATTTTTCCTGTTTTAATGTGTGAGTGTGTTTTAAAAGACTTGCAAGAGTAACAAGAAGATTTATTATCAAAAATTCAGATCTTAGACAAGGACTGAAACCTGTGTACAGTTTCTTACAGAGCAACAGATGAAATGTTTTGGCCTTCTGGTGAGAATGCCATGGTACCAGCTGGCGAGAATGCCATGGTACCAGCTGGCACAGAGTGCCACCCTGAAGAAATATGTAAACAGCCAGTGGAAGATGATGCAAAAAACTATAGCATTAGAAAATGTCTTGAAATTTTTTTTTCCCAGTATCCAGAAGCCATGAGTTGTTATAACCCTTAGGCTCGGTATTATGGATATCGCAACTCTTCGGCCTTGATTCCATGACAAATACCGTAAATCTGGGGAAAATGTGGCTTTTCTGTCTAACCCTGGGCGTGAACTCGGACCACAAGGAGTTTGTACCCGTCACAGCGCAGTCCGGTTTAGCCAACTACGCTAGCGAGCCGGGTGAAGAAATTATAAGCTTATGCAAGAGGACAAAAAAGAATCATTACATCTTTCCCTAACTGGAAGCAGAGATTTCTTTGTGTGCTCATGGAAAGACTTCTGTTTTTAATAATGTTTATAATTTTTGCTTGAATTTTTCAACAGATACTTGCAGTTCGTTCAGAGGGTCTATTATAAACCCTTCAATGTTTGTGCTTTGGCAAAATGTCCACCACTTCGGGGCCTGGCAGTAAAGGGGAGAAGAACAAAGGCAAATACAAGAGCATAGACATCAATACACTATACAAAGGGAAGAGTGTCGAGACACAGAAGTCAGCTGGTAAGTCTCAATGTGAAGTCCTGCAGTTTTTCTTGTTGTTGTCTGGTGGTCCTTTTTCTTGACAGCCAAGTAATTGGCTATGAATGTTAGCTCATCCAGGGATGCCAAGGATGGGTTTTGCATTTGTTTGATGTATCTTTATATATTATACTTCCGTGGCCCAGCTTCTGGGTTGAGTGCATGGTATGACACTGTGAGCTGCATGTTTCATTTGGAGTGCTTTTTTGACTTTACAGCCTGGTTTGTATTGTGAACTGAAGATCCAGAAAATGGCAAGATTCCTGTTATCATAGAGTTTGTAGGACACTACTGCTTTGTTGTAACTGCTGCTTCCATTGAGGATGAACTCCATATCTAGTGTGAGATATTCGTGTTGACACTTCTGACGGCTGCATTATGCATTTAATGCACATGCATTCTGTTGGATTTGCTAAAACTGCATACTGTGTCAAATTTTGTTACCCACAAGGGGTAGTGGTGAGCATTCTGTGTTGTTTTCCTTTGGTACAGAACCACTACAACAATGGGGTGACCTATTTGCTGTCGAGTTAATACAGCGATTATCTGATTACCAGATGCAGCTATGGCAGGGAAGCATTAATACCTTGTAGCCGCACTGAAAGAAACCCAGAGCATTGTGTTGATAAACAGGAATCACTATATATACGTTTGTTAATTTGTTGCTGTTGTTGGTGTGAAATGGGAAAGGGGCTGGTCCGAAAGTGAGCAGACCTTTGTTTTTTAAATTTTGGGTAGAAAAAGGGACTTGTTCCGAAAGTGAGCAGACCCGCTAGGTATGACTTTTAAAAAAAAATATGTTTTTGTGTGGGGTGGGGAAAGGAGCTGGTCCAAAAGTGAGCAGGTATGACCTTTGTTTTTTGTTTAAAAAAACTGAATAAAAGGATATGTCTTCTTGTCACAGGAAAGGTAAAATGCCCCTAGATTGATGAAAGGTTATTCTTTGTGTGTGTATTCACAATGTTTGGCTTTATACCTTTGCAGCAGTTGTCGCTAAGTTTGTTTACATTGTTTTATTTTCAGTTCCTCGGCAATATGGGCTTCAGAGCTTGGGCAAAGTGTCCAATGTCCGGCGCATGCCGCCTCCAGCCAACTTGCCCAGCATAAAGAGTGAAAACAGTGGGAAGGATCCCAATATCAGCCTTGTCCCAAGTGGAGGCACAGGTTTGTACTGTTTTGAAATCCTGGATTCACTGGTGTAGTCATGGATTCACTTGTGTAGTCATGGATTCACCTGTGTAGTCATGGATTCACCTGTGTATCATGCATCCATCAGATTTTCCACAGAAACTATATTTCTGCTGCTAAGTTTTTCTCACCTTTTTTCATGTTTCACATTTCAGTTTAGGCTTTTTTTTCACAGCTCTTTAACACTTGCATCTCACAGCTGTTTATATCCTTCTGTAGATGATTTTGTTTTTATTCTAGGAAAAGACTAGAAGAATTCTTGTTTCCAGAGTTCATCTTCCATTAAATGTTATGACTGTTTCATTAAAAGTGTGTTCGTTTTCTAGTTTATAAAAATTTAAATTAAAAAAAAACCCTATGCTATATTATGGGATCCACCGAAATCTAGACGCTCACCTACAGATCGACGGACCTGATGGGGGCCCGATCTTTTTACAGAAATGAACTTTGCTCCTAGGTCGACCTAGCCTTGCGTGGGGAACCAGGTAAAATAATGGGAAGTGAAGGTGGCCAGCATGATGCTGACCACATCACTCACCCAGTGCCATTTGGTCTATAAAAAAAATGTCTAGTCTTATATACCCCCTATGTCTGAAAGTTTAGAAAAGATCTGTTTACTTTTACTATGCCACATTATTACATATCCTTGAAGATAGCTTTAATTGGTTGCCTTTCAAACAAATGGACTCCAACATTGAAAGAAACTGATTCTGCTGTGTCCAGGTCTTAGGTAGGAAACCTGTTGCAAGGATGACCACAGAAAGGTATAGATAGCTTTTAGACTAGTTTGTTGTACACCACAGTGACTGGGTCAGCACCTCTACATCCCTTCATTGCTTTTAACTTACTACTATTTAGTTTGTTGTAAATTATATTTTTAAAAATTATGTATTAATACCACTATTTTGCAGGATGGGTGTCGAAGGACGAGAAGAAAGAGAGCAGTGGTGGTGGAGCTCCGCAGCCGTCGCCGCAGCAGCAGCAGGGCACAGCTCCACAGTCGCAAGTGCAGCCGCAGCAGCAGGCACCTGGCAAGGTGACATATCTAGTCTAGAATTGTATCTTTGCTGTCTAGTGGTGGCATAACCACTGGTAGGCTGGTTTAGTTTTAAGTAATTCTGGCAGCAAACACACCAGATGATGGTTATTGTAATGTCTGAAATAATTCAGGATGACTACTTTCATCACCCACTTACTGATGGTGTTCTCTTGTTTAAAAATTGGCTGTGTGTGTTGGTTCCGCAGCTCCATTTAGGGAGGTTTGGGAGAAAATAGACCCTTTGCCCTCTAACAAGCACACAGTAAAGGTGACTTTTTAAAGATGTTACTTTGAAGTTGGATACATCTGCCTGAGAAGCCAGGAACCAACAGTCCCCATACAAATAAATCACATCTGTAAAGAGGGCATGCATACAAAACAGAAATTTTTGAACAAGACCAATGTCTAAAAGTTAAAAAAAAACGACCTGAACTTTCCGCTAGTTCTCAGCTAAGGGACAAAAATTAATTGCTGTCCAGTTTATACCGAAAGCTCTGCATCAGTGATACTGTCAAACAAATTTTAATTGGACTTTCTGCACTTAGTTATTTCATTAGGAACAGCCTTGCAGAAATGAAAATCAGTCTTAATAGTGCTCTTGACAGAGCTCATCAACGAACATTACATCTCCCCCGACACTTCGATGAGGTAAAAGGTGGAAGAGAAGGAGTTATTTCATGTTTGAAAAAAAACAAAACTTATTATTGTTCATGTTTCTTTGTATCCCATTCATTACTGATTTGATGATAAATACAGAAAGTTTTTTTATGTTTGTTGTTAAGTCGGTTTAATTTCTTGTCTGTACTATAAAAGCACCTCTTGTCTTGAAGTTGTTGCTTGTTTTTTAATGTGCTCATTATGGCACTTTTTTACATTTCAGAGCAGCGCCTCAGCTGGGGCACAAAGCAATGTTGGAGCGAGGTCATGGAACAGTGTTACTGGGGGTGTTCAGAAAGGTAAGTTGGTTCGAACATCGTTCCAGTTCTCTACATTGTGTATGTTTTGTAAATGAAGCAGTGTAACTTTTGTGATTGATTCAGTCAGAAGGGAGCATGCAAAGAAAGAGACATTTTAGTGGATCAAGAGAACAGAAAAATTACTGAAGACTGTTGGTACAATTTCTGCGTTTCTCTGAAAAATAATACCTACCCCTTAAATGTTTTGGAGCTAAACGCTGAGGTCATTGTTGCCAATGCACCACAAACAGGCTACATGAGCAAGAAATGTTAATTTAGGGAAAGCTCTATTGCTTAGCGACTGGAACATGTGGTCTTACAGGAAATAGTCCCAAGATTGTTCAAGTCAGGATTTGGAGAGTAATGACCCGTGTTCTAAAAGATGATATGTCTGTATTCTAATAAATTATTTTGTACATGAAAATAGATTTTCAACACACAAAAAAACACCTTAAAAAAAGCTGTTGTCTTATTTTGCGGGAAACGCTGTAGAATGTCCTTGCAGAGAGACTCACTGGGTAAAAGAAATTAGAGGGAGGTGAAAAACAGAAAATTAAATACATAGGTGAACTAATAAGGGGACATGATTTATGTTGTACGTAGTTGCTGCATAAAATGTATGGAAACTAACTTATTTGTTGATTTTACAGTGGGTTTGGTTGGCCATCGATCGTCGCTGTTTCAAGAGGAGTTTCCAAGTTTGGCTCAAGAAGAAAAACACAAAGAACCAGTACAGACTATCAAAAAGGAAGAGGTCGTCAAGGATATTCCATATGGACCAGGGCCAAGTTTGCGACCACAGAGTGAGCTTATAGTTTCTTCGTTCATATGTTACGATACTTAATTAGATCGTTCATACATTACAGTACTTCTATCTCATTGGTATTTCATTCTTCTTCTTCTTAGCTGTAAACTCTGGCAGAACATTCTGATTGTTCATCCAATCATGGACTTTGGTCTTGACCCAGAACTTGAGTTTTGCATGCACTTTTTATTTCATAGATCTGGCTTATTTGTTTGCAGACCGTTAGTTCCTTGCCTCTCAGGTAGATGAGACCGTTAGTTCCTAGCCTCTCTGGTTGATGCACTCTTAGAAGGAAGCACCTCTAATTAGCTGACTTTTATAGTATGTTTTAGAAGGGGGTCTATTTTTTCTCTCTCTCTCAAATGAAGCTTAGAAACCCGGGTGGGGGGGGGAGTGATCAGTTATTTTGAGATTGCCTAATATCTTTACTTTGCGTTGGCTAGTGGCTGTTGCCCTTTACCTTCCATGTAGTATGCATTTAAAAATAAACACTAAACACGTCAGGCCACTTAAGTGACTTGTCTTTGTGTGACTAGGGTGGAGTGATTTACATCTGATGTAGGTTAGCTAAGGACAGCACAACATGATCTGGGTGATCAGTTGATTTACGTTATACGTTTTATATAACTTGGATGCTTTCAACTCAGACTATCCAGTTACAGAGATGATTTTACCAAGTGATGCTTACTTAGACATGTTTGATCTTCTGTGATATCAAATCTTGTCTGATGGTAGCAATCATCTTAGATTCAGTGTATGGATGGTGAGCTTGATTTGTTTTTATGTATGTGTATGGATGCTGCAGTAATGTTTTGTCTAGTCTGCTATCATTATGGTTCTGCTGAGTTCCGAGTCCTCATTGTAGGGTAAACGAGTAGACCAACTGCCACCCCAGCAAGCATGTCGTAAGAGTAAACTAATTGGGACCTTCCTTTGAAGTCGGACCGCATCTGCCTGAGAGGCAAGAAACCATTCGACTTAATACTGATAAGTGGATGTGCATGCCACACTCAAGTTTGGGAATACAATTCTATAGGTGGACTGTCCTGTGATGTCATCTGGGGGTAGGATATTATGAAAGAACTGACTGTCCTTCCTGTTCCAACTCAGTGCCAAAGTACCATCTACCCGTGAGCTGTGTTGTAGGGAACACCTTTCTCCTTTCAAAATCTGTATGCGAAGCGCAAATTCTTAAGAATGGGGAATGTCAGGTGAGTTCTGACATGTGTGACATGCCTCAGTTGATCTAGTTATGATGTGCATTCATCTCTCATCAGATGTTGCAAGTTGGCGAGAGGGCGGCGGGCGTGCATTGCCACAACCCAAACCAGAAGAGCCTGCATCCAGTTCCTCCAGCTTGAATCAGACAGAAACACAAGTGAATGGCCCCCTGATGTCCGGTGGCAGCGGTGCTGCAGCGGGACTGGGGGCTGATTTGCCTGCCCAACCTCCGCCACCATCGCTGCGTCCTGGTTCAGGACATGGACCTCCACGTGGATCTCTGCCTATGGGACCTCCCATGGCTATGCCACCTCCACAGTACAGGGGAATGCTGCCACCTTATGTAAGTGTTGAGTTCACATGTGGGTGATTTTATGTTTGTAATCATTTATCTGTGTAATGTGCAGTTCTGCCCCCCTCCCCCCCAAAAAATGCCCTTACAGCCTGTGTGTACAAATTTTGCAGGACATATTCTGCTATTACTGCCAACGTACACCACCTTTGCTGTGTATAACCAGGGGGTCTTTGCGCCTGGGGATTTAGAGCCTCATGGCTAGTTCTGTAGCCTCAGACTGGGTTAGAATTTTAATTGTCCCTGGCTGGAAAAGAATCACAACCTTACTGAAGATTCAAACCTGGGACTCCCGCATCAGAGCCCACAGTTCCCTCAACCAATCGGCCAGCTACTCTTCTAATAGGACAGTGAATTAATTAAATGTGTAATTGGAATTGCTCCTATGTTCAGTATTAATGCCTGTGTGGGTTTCGGGACCCCATTGTGGGAAAAGCAAGAATAGAGCCACTGTCTGCCTAACAAGCATGTCGCAGAAGTTGACTAATTTGGGGCTTCCTTCGAAGTCGGAGTGCATCTGCCTGAGTGACAAGGTACAGCCAACTGCACATAAATAAGCCAGTAAAACGGATGTAAATACAAAACTGAGGCCCTGGCACGAAACCAACGTCCAGATGGACGAACAACCAGGATTTTCAGCAGAAGCTTACAACCAGTGAACAAAGAAGAATATTCATAGTTCTTCATTTTAATTGGTTTTAAACATGTTTGATGTGAGTCGCAGCTCATTGGTGAATAGCTGGAGATTGTAGGCTGAATGTCAGAGAAAAATATGGGTCAGCTTCCTAAACCTTGAAAAAAAAAAACTTGTTTATTCTGTTGCTGAAATCCCTACTGCCATCGCATAGACAGGCATTTACACAAGATAGTCCAATGTGTTTTAAGATGATGCTCTCATAGAGTCTGATTGTCGTCTTAACATGGCACACAATTTTGCTCTGCCCACAGATGTATGGAAGAATGCCACCTTCAGGCTACCCTCCCAACTTTCCTGGATATCCACGCAACCCATTCCCACATGACCACAGGTGAGTCTTGTGTTGGCTAAGTTATTTGTCCTTAGGTATTATGTAACAATGCCATTTTTTATAAAGTTTACCGGCTGTAAACCCCAATGGAAAGACTTGTTTTCACATTTCTGGACTTCAACTTTGTTATAGGATCCGAGTTTTGCATGTGCATCCTTTTTACAGATCTTGCTTATTTGTATGCAGACTGTTGGTTTCTTGACTCTCAGACAGATGACTGACTTTCAAGGAAGCCCCCAATTAGTCAACTTTTTCAGCGTGCTTGTTGGGGAGGGAGTGGGTCTATTCTTTTTTCCCCCACAATGGACCTGGGAACCCACACATTTGATTTGTCTGTTTAATAAAGTATTAGTTATGGGAAGATTTAACCTTGCCTTATGATGTTTGTTAAGAAATAATATCCTAGCACTTAGAATATTACCATAAGCACTCCATCCCTGTCTTCAGCAGCAAGGGCAGCATTCATATTCAGGTGTGTTTGAAGCTGCCTTAGTTGCTCAGCAGTTAGTGCTCCTGTCTGTCAAGACTGGTCCTAGTTCAGTTGCCCAGCAGTGACCAGTATTGTGTAGGAGTTGATTTATCGACATGAAATTCTTTGCCTCTTTCAGCCTAAATGCTCTTTCTGCGTATGAAATAAAGTACGGGGTCTTCTCTAGCGAGTTCTGTAAGTAAGGCCGTACGTCTAATTGATAAATTTTCAGCACTGTTACACTGTAACAGGTTACTAAATTTGTACATAAAACAAAAATGTAATCTGTATACATATAATTATTGTAGATAGGCATCTGTGTATACTGGGCATCAGACCTGGGAACTCTTGGACCCTACAGGTGTCATCTTTCTTTACTTGCAATTTGTGTGGGTGTGTGGTCGTCAGTGTGGATGCTCATAACTCCAGAAGATTTATGTCACGGCTATTCAGCTGGTAGGCTGTGGGCCTAATTCTTTCTGGTTTGCAAAAGTTATCCTCCCCAGTGCTAGAGTCTAGGCTCTGTGTCAAGATCTTCTTGTGTTACTTGTGGGAGGAGATGAGTACTTGTAGCGATATCCATGTGCAGTAAATATCTATGATGAAATTCAGCTGTCATCTGCAATTCATATGTTTTTTCTGTATCCTTTACAGGATATTGCAGAACCAATCCAAGCATTTGTTAGATGTTTTGATTTTAATAAGCAATTTTGCATCAGCGGTTTGTCTTTGTCGCTGAACACCCGGCTCTCGATACCGCTGTTGAATTCACAAGATGGTCTGCTGCCAGATCACCCTCAACTGGAATCGGGCAGTTACAGAGCGCATTTGCAATGCTGACATTTGCCATACCTAGTTTGTTTTTTATATTATTTATTTGTTTTCAGATTCAGAGGCCCACCAAATTCTATGCCTGTTGATAGATTTGGGAGTGAGGCTGATGATGGCAAGAATCGCCCAGCTATTGTATCGGAGAAGGCACTGAAAGATTTTGATGAAATGCTCAAATCTGACACACTTGAAGGCGGCTGGGCCGGGCCACAAGGAGACATTGACTACAGGTGTGTATGAGTGTGTGTTGTGATTTGTCATAACTTCTAGTTAGTTAGGCATCTAGTGAACAGTTGGAATCAGATGTTTCTTCATATACCTTAAATTAAATCATTCTTTTGTGGGCTCCGGCTAATCTTTTTACATGGCCAAACCTTTTTTTCTGTTGTCTACCATTAAAGTTGAATATTGTTGCTTTGCATAATATGTAAAAATTTCGTTTCTGTTGTGACTATTTTTCTTATTATAATTTATAAATGTTACAAGCATATAAAAGCATTGCAGTTTTGTCTGGCTGTTGATATCTGTTTTGTGGGCCACCGGATAGGAAAAACTTCTAGATAAAGAAAACAGATTGTACAAAAGTTACAGATTCACGACATAATTGTGTCTGGTCATCTACTGTGCTAAGCCATTAAGTATAGTTGATGATAATATGTTATCCCACAGGATCACCAGAATTATGTACCAAGCCAAGTACTCTTTTCCCCATAAGGTTTGCCTGTTGTTGCCAGGTTTTAAAGTTTGTTTCTTGTCGTAACATGTCCACTTCTAGCAGGTAGATTAAAAACTAAAGTTAGAACATTTTCTTTTTAAAATTTGTTTGCCTAAATTAAATGTTTATGCTTTTATTTTGTTTTTGTTTTTCAGTGAAAAGCTGGTGTTTAGTGATGATGAAGAGGGTTCTGGACATCCAAGGTTAGTTATCACATTAGTAGAACAGATATGTTTTAAAAGACAACAGAGATGGGGAATTTAAAGATTTAAAAATTAGCATTTTGGAATTGTGCGAATGAAGAAAGGGAACCTGAAGCTGCTAAAAGACACTGGGGGAATTGGTGCTGTTCTTAGGCCACAAAGAAAAGCTGTCGCAGTGGGAAAAGCCATATAATGCCTACAGTTAAATTCTACAATAACCACAGCATCCAGAGCCACAGGAGGGGGAAAAGCTTGTGAATAATATGTGTGTCTGATCCATGTTGCCCGGCAACAAATAATACTGAGGAATCATTTAAGGTGGAGTTTAATTTGAATGTTTAAAGTGCTGTGGGTGATTAACATAAATAGCAGAAGAAAATTGTGATGGTTGCCATAAATGTCAAGACAAGATCAGATAACAAGCATATGGTGACAGATTAACATTGTTGAATGAAAGAAGTCCATAGTTTAGTGCTGTACCTTTTGCGGGCAGTTATTTTTTTTACATTTATGCTAATATCTGCAGGGACAGATCTCGCAGAGATGAGAGACGAAGGCCCCCAGAAGAGAGCCTCAACAAGAAAGAATCAGATTCTAACAAGGACAAGGATCAGAAGGAAGAGAACAATAAGGTATGAGTTTCAGTATTCTGTGTCTTGATTTTAATGTTGTTATTCATTGAATCTTGTCTCTCTTTGATAGTAAAAACTTTGCTAACACAATGTTGGCTAAAAAGTTTAAGACCGCTTAGTAAATACTGATTTTGCCTATACTGTTACAGAGTATCTCATCCACTGCTGTTTTAAGGCAGTCACTACAGTCATCATAGCGTTGAAATATCATTTGTTTAGTATGAGTAGGTGGTCTTAAACTTCTGGCTAACACTGTAATGATTTTGGGGACATCGTGTATCACACTCAAGTTGGCAGTAAAGTCAGAGATTTTGACAGAGATTGGGAATGAAAAGTGAGTTGATGCAGAAAATATATATAAAAAAAAGGGGGGGGGGGTGGGGAAGGTGCCTTGAAATATTTAAGCCAAATTAAAAGACTACTATTATTAAAAGCCTAGAGAAAGGCAAGAGTTGTTAAGTGAAACAAGTGTTAGAACATCACAGGGCTCCATGTAGGCTGTGCTACATCTTCAGCTGATACTACTGCAAAGGCACTTCAACCGAAGTGCCTTTGGGGCCAGACCTGGGATGCCTTTATTTCACGAAGGGAACATTTTAGTGTGTATTCAGTATTCTGTGGTGCCTATCCTAATGGAGACTTTTCTGGGTCCCTTATTTTGAATGTCCTGTAGATATGGCAACTGTGTTTTCAGTTTAAATATAATTATTTGATAGAGTGTACTACCAAGACAAGACTGTTGGAGATAGCTCTCTTGCAACCAGCCTTTATTGTGGTGACAGCCCTGATTAATTTTAGCCTGGCTGTTCTGTTCTTATTTTCCTTTTCATTCTTTCGAGTAACGTAATTAGGCCTTTTGAGTGTCACTTCCGGCTTTATCAGGCATTTGTTCACCGAGTTAGCCTTCTCGGATAGTTTTGTGGGACATGATGCTGATTTATGTATTTGTTTAGCGTCTTCTTTATCCCTTAATTGTTACTGGTGCCGTAAGAATTGGAACTCTTTCGCTCGCTGCTGAAGATGGGGACGGAGAGCTAATGGGGGTTCTGTGATGTCGATTCTTAATTTAACATTCATCCCTTAATCTACAGATGTTATCCCAGGAGAATCCATCTAGGGTAGCTGCGTGTAGACTGGTCAGCCCTCAAGGGAAGGCAGGGGCATATAATGGGAATTCTCCCCCACACAAGGAAGCTTACATAAATGCCTGTTCTGTTATTTATTTTGAAAATTAAGTATAGCACTAAAAATAGATCTGTATAATGTTCTTGTTTCAGGAGGAGCAGTCATCTCATCACATGCGTGAAGGCTGGTCGCACGGCATGCCCCCGCCACATTACAGAGGAGGCCCCCTACCACCTCATCCTGGCATGGACGCTGTAAGCTTGGCTTTTTTTTATTCAAACTTGCTAGAATAGTCTAGGGGGTAATGGGGGCATCTACTGTTGTAGAATGTAATTTAACTCTTAGGTTCGGTGCAATTGCATTAATGTGATTTACACCCAGAAAGGTTGAATGGGTACCAGGTGAAGTCCTGTGGGATGGACAGGATGTTGATCAACAGATTAGTCTATAAAATATAGGTCTAGCCCTATATGCCCAACACGCTCCAAGGCGTGGAGAAGGATCTTTTGGTTAATTTTTACCCAGAAGAGATCTCACATTGGTTGGTCTGAGCCTTTTATGGATTGCATTGACCCATGTCAAAGAAGAAGGATTAGGCCTACTGCCACTTATCAAGCATGTCATACAAAGTGACTCTCAGATTTGCTGTAATCAGATATATTGGGCTGAAAGGTGCACATATCACATCCTAGCTGTGAACTACAACACAGGCGTTCTAACCATTTTTAAATGGTGAAGATTGGAGTGAGTTTAGACATTTTTCTTTGAACGTAACACAGTACCATCTCCACAGTGAGCATGTTGCAGAACTTGTCTGGCCTTCTCTAGCTTCAGTACTGAGCGGTGTGTCCCAGGCTGATTCTGGTATACTGTAGAGGCAAATTATGTTTTAGAGGATGTAACCATGTCTTTCAGCTCAGTGCATATGTACTGAAACATATTATTGTTATTTAGTGGATTTTCCCCCCTCATGAAACCCACAGGGTGAAAGGAATAAAGGCAGAAAAAAAAAAGTAGATGAGAGAGTTGAAATATGAGGACCTGGGATGAGGTGCATGTGATATTGGTTGAGGACCAAAGAAGCTGTTAAAACCTAGAACCTTGGAACATTGCGGCTATCATTGGTAACAAAACCATGATGTGGGATATTTTTGATCACTTTAACAATTTAAGGTTTACATACATCTGTTCCAACATTTAGGTTGGTTACTGAGGAGCGGCTGGTTGATGGTTAAGAACGCTGGGCTCCCAGCCAGGTTTAAACCCTCTGTTGTAAGATTATGGGTATTTTCTGCAGAGAACAAAACTAGGGTCCTTACCTGCACAGTCCGTGGCGACAGCATTAACCATTTAGTCCTAAATCTTCATCTCAGCCTAAAGATACTGTTTTTTTGCTTGAATAGAATGATAGGGTTCTTCTTTAGGGCTTCCAAGGGCAGCAGAACATCAGCATGATCAGTAAATAGGTGTACTCCAGCACTTAGTTTTTATTTAACTTGATAACACCATGTTATGGGCAGTAAAGGCAGCTAGCTGGTCTGCTGTTGATCATATCACCCACCAAGCGCCGATTGATCTGTAAAACAGAGTCCAGTATTGAGTGCCAGTGTCCTGTATTGAGTGCCAGTGTCCAGTATTGAGTGACAGTGTCCAGTATTGAGTGCCAGTGGCATCAGATAGTGTCCCTAATATTTTACTGTACTATGCACACCATGTGATGTTAACTTAGACATGTTTGATCACTTGTGATAACACTTTTGTCTGATGGTGTTGAGAGTGGACTTCTGTAGCTTATCAAGTGTATTATCAGGTTGTCTTTTTTTTGTTTATAGTTTTGTTGTTTGTAGAGCTGATGAATGTTGCACCCTGTTACAATTAAATGTTGAGTTAGGAATCAAGATCATAGCACTCGGGACACTCCCATAAGTGCTCAGTCCCTATCTTCAGCAGCAAGCAAAGAGTTAACTGTTGAAGTCTACTTCATTGCACTAGGTTTGATCCCATATGACAGTTTCTCTCCGTAGAAACGCACAAATGGGCAGCCTTCAGAGCATGAGCCAAATGGCTTGATAACTCGGCCACTGGGATCCCTGATCAGTGATAAGTGTATTTGCAGACTCTGTACCCAGTCAGTTGTCCTCTGTACACCACATGATGCTTACTTAGACATGTTTGATCGTTGGTGATAGCACTTGCCTGATGGTGTGTCAACACAGACTTTGTCTTATATGAAATGTGTAGAGAGGGTGGCTTATGCTCTTAAAGTCTGATATTTTCACACCATGTTAAAGTGGAGGGAATTGGCTTTATTTATTGCATCAGGTTTTATGCTACATGGCTCCGTCTGTCAGTGAGATACCTGCTGAGAGGGCTGCACAAAGTACAAACTCGGCAGTCCCATTTATTTATAAAACCTTTTATCCAAGTGACTCACTCAACCTTTTTTGTGGCAGACAGTTTGACCATTTTGACAGGACACTGTGCGGCGTCCCTCCCCCCAAAAGTTGTAGTAACTTGACCAGTTATATCACAATCTTTCCTTTGATACATATTGCGCAACGCTTAGACGGTCCCAGGAATAGTTTTTGTGACACTTGAACTCAAACTGCATTGCTTTGTTTGTATCTACTTCATGACCTGTTGTGTGTACGCTTTCTTTTTCCTCTATATGGGTTCCGGGGTCCCATTGTGTGGAGAACAAGAATAGACCTACAGCCTCCCCAACATGCATGTCATAGGAGTTGACTTATCGGGCAGGGGAGGGATCCTTGAAATGGAGTACATCTGCCTCGGAAGGAATAAACAGTCTGCATACAGAAAAGCCACATCTGTAAAAAAGATTTCCATGCAACACTGTTTCTCGAACAAGACTAAAGTCTGAATGTGGCCAGGCAGACAGAACTTTCTGCCTGAGTTTACAGTTAGTAAATGTGGAGATATTGATGAAAATGCAGTCGATAAACGCAAAGAAAAACATATTCTTTTGAAATTTTATTAATTGCACTCGTTAGTTTTCTTAGAAATAAAATAGCTAGACTATTGTTGAAACCACTAACATTGTCATGGAGTGGAAGAAAGAATGTAGACTTCTTGAGAAAGTGTTAGTTCACTACTGGTGTATCGGTACATGGAAATATAGTCACATGCCAGTGTGGATATTGTTAAAAGTGTCTCTCTGATGATTTCACCAGGTGATGCTTTCTTAGACATGTTTGATTACCCGTGATAACAGTTTTGTCTGATGGTGGTCATTTTAGTCTTTTTAATGTATCGGCTTGCAAGTGGGGTGTATTCATTAGCAGGGATGGCTCAGTACTCTGATTTTATTTCACTCTCTACGCATGGTCCCCTGACCTTGTTACCCCGGACATCATGAAATCTTCTGGCAGAGTTAGCTACGATAATTGTGTATGTGTGTGTGTGTATGTGTGAATTTTATACATCACAATGGGCATATTCTATTCCTCCATTTGATTATGTCCTCTGCAGCCTTTTTGATTATCATGTATCCATCTGTGCATTAAGATTGTTTTACATTGGGGTGGGGGGGGGGGAGAACTAGCCTTGCACCCATCTGGACTTGGGGTAGGCAAAAATGGAGGTTATGATAGTAAGCATTTCATCCACAGTGATGGTCAGTTAAGAAACTCATCCTACCTTCTTCAATATCCTACCTTCTTCAATATGCAATAGTCTCATTTAAATGTGGCCATAACATTTTCAGCCAGAAGCAAAAATGTCACCCTAACTCATTCAGTAGAAAACTGGCAGCAGTAGCAGTGTCAGCTGTTTAGTTAAAAACTACTGAACCTACAATTGCTAGTGAACAGATGCTGCACTTGGTGTGAACAACCTGTCAAGGATATGCAATTTTAAAACTTATTCTGCTACTGTTTTCTCTGTTCATATGCTGTTTTCTCTGCTCATATGTACTTGATTCTTGTCTGAAATTGTACTGTGCTTTTCTGCATTCTTTCACTGGGGCAAGAAGGCATTGCCTTGGTAGTTTTTTTTTTTTTTTTAAACTATGAAAGCTCCGTAGTACTCAATGGCGTACTTATGTAGATATCACATTTTGACAACTGGTAAACATTGTATGTCTCATCCTGTACTTTAAACCGTTTCTTGGAAAGTTGTCTTTTGCTACAAGCTGCGGTGGCACTGTCTCAATGCTCAGCTGCCGGCTCAAGGGTCTTGGTTTCAAAACGCCATGATGATGATGTTTCACCCTAGAATTGACCTAGGCTGCCAGTTTGACAGCCTGAAGCGGCCACCAGCTTATATCCTGGGAAGTAAAGGTGGCTTACATGATGTTGACGTCTTGACCTCTTCGGTGCCAGTTGCTCTGTAATAAATAATATGAGCCTCACATCATATGACAAATCCACCACTGCCAATAAAAAAAAAAGTCTTTGACTGACTGGCTGGCAATGATTTCACCAAGTGATGCTTACTTAGACATGTTTGATCTTCTGTGATAACAATTCTGGTCTGATGGTGGTCATTTGTAGACACTAGCTTGTTGTGCTCTGCCTTAGAATACCAAGCTCGGGAATTCTTGTTTGCGTTCGGTTACTATGCTCAAATCAGACCATCAGGTTGGTTGCCTCTGTGAACTTGCATCTCAGTAGCAGGTCCTTCATGTTTTCCCATAGCTTGCTCTGCACACTTTGCTCATGAGGCCAAGTGTCTTTTCAAAGTTGTAGGTCTGCAGAATGTGCTCAGATGTTTGTGGTGCACATACCTAGTTTGTGGTCCTGTTTGACAGGCACACTGTAGGGACTGTAGAATCTTTATTTTATGTATGTGTTAGTTGAGTCTGCAGTGTCCTGTTCATAGACAGAAAATTGTCGTATGATGCTTTCTGTTGAGTCTGCTGGTGGGGTCTTGTGGATGTTTACTGTTAGTTTGTTCTCTCCACAGTTCCTTGTATTTTCCTTGATAAGTGTTCTGATTTCTGGTAAAGACAATGGATGGGTGCATTGTTTTTCCTCTGTTCCATTTTTTGCAAGTTTTCGCTAACTCATTTCCCGGTATACCCCAGTGAGCCAGAATCCACCAGAGAACAATTTCATTTTTTTCTATGACTTTGTTTCGCTGTATAGTGAGCCTCTGTGGCTTAGGAGTTGCAAAGACGCTTGATAATGTTTGGCTATTTGGCACAGTTGTACCAAGAACCGACTGCTCAGAAGGCGGCGGCAAACGACTAAACGTAAAATGTGCCTATAAAAACCACAACAGCAAAAAATAATGAAAAAGTTGATGTTGGTTCTGTAATGTCCTGTAAAGGTTTCGCAACTAATTATAAGGGTAGTGAAGCATCATATAACATCACCTTTAGGAAGCCAGGGTAAAACATGTTGCTTTTTTTGTGCAAATCAAGTAATGAAGATAGGGTGCCTCTGAATATAAGTAATTAGGTCTCTTGCTTCAAGGAATGATTTCACCAGGTGATGCTTACTTAGACATGTTTGATCTTTTGTGATAACAGATTTGGACTGATGGTGATCATTAGCTTTGACATATTAGTTTTGATTGCCTTCAGACGGTCATTTATCATGTTACTGTGACAGTACTCTTGTTTGCTCTCTTTATTTTACTGCCCTCTTCAGGCTGCTATAACATTTTATTAGCCGGGATGTTTCGATTGTAATCATATGTATTAAGGTAATAAAATTTACGGTATCCAGCTCTGTGGTCGTATTTGAGGTGATTGAAGTCTCTGTCCCTTCAAATAATATGTTGATCCAATTTATGCTGAGTTTCCTGGTTTGTGGACTTCCATGCTTGGTGTGTCTACTCATTGCAGTCCAAGTTGAAAATTGTATGGTTGTGCACTTGTTTCCTCTATAAAATCATATAACTTTTCTTTGATAATGTTGAGCATCTACCAGTTATTGTTTCTGTCTTTTTATGTGCCATTTTGAAGATGCAAATGCGCTGTCTGTATTTACAACATGGCTGCCAAATGTGCACTTTTTGACCGACATATCTGACTTCAGCTGGCATTTTCCCCTCGGTTTAGCCTTCCTGGTTAGTTTCATGGGGAATTAGCCTCATTGCTGTGTGGTCATTTTTGGTCCCTAGTTCACAGGGTTGCTTCGCATCAGGCTGATCCATAATTATTTTTATCTTGTATCCAGTCAGGACATTTCAAATGCTGGTAATTGTTATCAGTTTGGTTGAGTTGTCTGATCTTGGCAGACATTTTAGTACTGGCTGGCCTTGGATTAATGACGTATGTCAGGCTATCCATTTGACGGCTAGCAGGCTGAATCTGGCCTGCGGAAGCCTAGAAGCGGCCCATAAATCAGCTGGCAGTTGTATTATGATCTTACTAAGGTGGGGCTCGGGCCACTAGCCCACGACGATCCACATTTTCCAACATTTTGGCTGTGAGTAAACTTAGATGAATCGCCCGCCCCTGCTGATGGCTGTTTTTAGTCTACCATAGTTTTATATTATTATCTGCAAAATATGTTTTCCCACAAACAGCAATGTCACTACATGATGCTTACTTAGACATGTTTGATCTTCTGTGATATCAAATCCCAACTGATGGTGATTGTAAACAACTTTGATAACTCAGATGTGTGGAGCATGTGTGTATTTATAACTCCAATGAGCTTGTACCAGCCATGCTTTATTTTCAGCGTGGTTGGCCACCACACATGCGCCCATATGATTTCATGGTTCCAAGAGGAGCCCCACCTTATGCGTTCAGATTACCACCACCAATGCAGATGGTATGTATGGCATGCTTTGTATATGTTGTGTCTTTGTCAGAGACTGTGCCTCGGCTGTGATCTTATTCTAAGCTTTGGTATAGATTTCTTTGTGTGGCAAAACATGCTTTGCTGCTACATATCTGCATGTTTGCAGGTCTTGTAAGAGGTGCTTTGTTAGTTAGTTAGTTGGGTTATCATCATTGCACTCCGGACATGTCCATAGGTGCTCAGATCCTCCCCTCAGTATGAACCCCAACGTCCGATGGCTAATAGTACCAGTTCTAATTTTGATTAACAAGTCTTCTGACGTGTCCGGTGTGCGTCTCGTTTTTTGCTGTGCCGATCTTAATTCCCAAGTCTGCCATTCTGGCGAGTGATGTGGATTCACCTCCACCAAAGTCCTCTATCCTTCCCATTTCCCAGAGGGCATTGATAATATCAGCATGATTTATAGGCCGACCGTCGGTAGTGATAGCGGATCCAGCCAACCTGTCAGCTCTTTCATTTCCATCGACGCCTGCGTCTCCCGGAACAAAAATAAAGGTGACTCCTCGCACAGTGGACTTCTGAATTGATTCAAGCCATTGTCTTCGCACTGAACCTGCCTGAACCCTCCGGATCATACTCATTGAATCACTGAGTATACATATGCGGGTGTATTTTTGTGTTTCAAGCCAGGCAAACGCTTGCGTCACTGCCATCACCTCCATCGTCATGCTGCTGGTTGTCATGGAGAAGGCGCCGTTGGCTTCTTTGACTGTTCTGCCCGCTGAGCGTGCTGTAAATGCCCATGCGCTTCTTCTTTGGCGTATAACGGATCCGTCTGTATGGATTAGTGCATCTGCTTCGTCTGAATTTTCATCGATGAGAGCGTTGACCTCTGCATTAACAGCAACAGGATTCTCTTCTCTACATCGCCTGTTGAGTGTGACAATACAGGAAAATGTACAAATAAACGCCTGAGGCACAGGTATCCATTCTGCACCAGGTATGATGTCGGTTAGGCTGCATATTTTTTGCCTAATATCTTCTGCCCGACCTAGCCACGATTTTCCCCTCTTCAGTCTGTCGCCCTTTTCACTAAAAAGCGCTTGATGCAGTGGGTGTTTCTTATCAGCACATATTTTGAGGTATGCCTGAGCCCTCCACATCCTGATCCTTTGGTTCATTGTTGGAAGAGGTGCTTTGTTACCCCACATCAGCATGTTGCAAGTCATGTAAAAGATGATTTGTTATCCCACATCGGCATGTTGCAAGTCTTGTAAGAGGTGATTTGTTAACCCTCATCAGCATGTTGCAAGTCTTGTAAGAGGTGATTTGTTACCCCACATCAGCTTTTTGCAATTCTTGTAAGAGGTGCTTTGTTACCTCACATCAGCATGTTGCAAGTATAGTAAGAGGTGCTTTGTTACCCCACATCAGCATGTTGCAAGTCTTGTACGGCATGCTTTGTTACTCCACATCAGCATGTTGCAAGTCTTGTACGGCATGCTTTGTTACTCCACATCAGCATGTAGCAAGTTTTGTAAGGCATGCTTTTTTGTTCCACGTCTAGTCTTTTAAGACATGCTTAGATGCCCCATATCTGAATGTGGCTTTCAGTGAGACTTGTTTGTTGGAGTCATGCTTTGAGTTTAGTTCCTTTTTTTTTTCTTCTCCTGGAATGCCTCGTGGCAACAGGGTAAGAAGAAATCTTCTGATATTTTTGTGATCCATTTTCTGCGCGCTCGACCTCTAGGTCTGTTACCACTGTCTGTATAACATTGCTCTCTGTGGTGTCCTGTCTGCTGCCAATGTTTACATGGCCAAACCATTTTTGTCTACCTCTTAACTTCAGTATTGGTTCTGTGCCGATTCTCTTCCTGATATCCTAATTTCTAAGTCATTCTTTCCTCATTACACCTAGCATAGTACGTAAACATTTCTGGCGGTGACTATTGTCCTTCTGTCTTCTGAAGACAGTGTCCATGTTTGACACTGATAGCAGAGCGTTGGTAAGAATACTGTGTTGGGATATTGTGTTAAACTGTTCTTTTAGTGTTCATATTCACATGCTTGCTTTTCAGAATTGGTGCCATTTGGCCGAAAACTTGATTGGCTTTATTTTGCATCTTTGTTGGATTTCTTTATTCATTCTTTCGCCTTCTGAGAAAATGCTTTCCAGATATGTGAAATCCTTTGCCTGCTTTAATTGGTGTTCATCACTTTTGATATTGGTGGTTCTTCCTTATCTGGAGAATGTCATCACTTCTGGTTTGTCTGTGTTGATCTTCACATCGTAGTTATCGCATCCTGAGCAGAGTCTATTAATATGTTCTTGTAACTGTACTGCTGATGGTGCTATGATTGCATAGTCATCGGCAAAAAGCAATTCATTTAGTAATTCTCTGATGTTGTTCCCCCTTGCTTATGTAAGCTGATTTGTAAATTTGGTCAATGTATGTGATGAACAGTAGTGGTGATAAAACGCACCCCTGTCTCACTCCAGATCTAATGTAGAACCTGTTTTCTAGTCTGTATATTTCTGACAGACTTATTAATCTTAGTCTCAGAACCACATTTTTCATGTTATCTCCAATTCGTTTTTATAATATAAAATAAGGGGTGCTGTGTGGTCTTGAGGAATGACGTCTGCCTCGTGCTGGAGGTCCTGGGTTCAAGCCTTGGTGAAGGCTGGGATTTTTCACGTGGGCCTTAGGAATACCCCCCTGGTCTCTAAAAAAATCTACCCGAAGTATTTCAGGATCCTCGCCGATGCTATGGAGTTTGTGCACTGCGCTGAGATTCTTTGCACTACCCTTGTTGATCTGTCGTCTAAACCAAAATCTCATTTTTGTCATGTTTGAGGAGCATCTTCATGTTTAAAGTGCGACAAAAGGTAGAATTGCTCAAGGTTTTGACCAGCCTTTATTTTTGAGGCACACAACTTTGTGGTATTCACTGCGGCACCACTTCTGTTCTTATGGACATTTTTTATTGCCTTTATTTTAATCATTTGTTGAGCTGATCAACTGGCTGTTAATTTCTTACCTAGAAAAATTGTTCAAGTAGATATTCAGTCTACAAAAAGTACATAAATCTCTTGAATTAGTATCTTATATGGTAGCAGACACCAGATGATGGTTATTGTAATGTCTGAAATCATTCAGGATTAAGGATGACTACTTTCATCACCCACTTACTGATGGTGTTCTCTCATTGATTATTGCCTCATCATAGAAAGACCAAGATTACATTAGGGGTTCAACCATGTCAACATGCTCAGATACCTTTGTCTTCTGTCTCCTTAAGACATTTCTTGACCTGTCAAGACGTTAATTTATTACACAGAATTCTGGTAGGTTGGTGGTTAAGTTTGTGCATAGTCGATATTGTTTTCATGGGGTAGGCACCAGATGATGGTTTTTGTAATGTCTGAAATCGTTCAGGATGACTACTTTCATCACCCACTTGCTGATAGTGTTCTAGCTTTTGGCTTCTACCACCTTGGAATAGATTAGTGACATACTGAATGATTACTGTGTTGATACCCATTGAGAATGTTGAACCCTAGTTTCGGGTACTGGTAGTTCTTTGCATATGTGTGTGTGGTTACCCACTCACTCACTCAAACGCCATTAGAACCACAAATACATGCCAAGCATTCATGTGCACACACACAAGCTACTAATTTGTGTTTTAAGGAATTGAAGTCTTGTGTGGTAGCAGACACGAGATGATGGTTTTTGTAATGTCTGAAATCATTCAGGATGACTACTTTCATCACCCACTTTCTGATGGTTATTTATAAACAACTTTGTATGTATTATGAGTTTAGAAAAAAGGCTGCATAACTTTCTAGGAAGGCATGTCAGATGTTGATAATTCATTGCATATATGCATGCATTCCACCTAGTCACAAAAACCATTAGAACCATGTAATCAGATGCACTGATTACTTGTCTCTGTTTTGAGAAATTGAAATATTGGTATTGTAGCAGACACCGGATGATGGTTATTGTAATGTCTGAAAACTTTCAGGATGACTACTTTCATCACCCACTTACTGATGGTGTTTTCTCATTTATTATTGCCTCATTGTAGAAACACATAGAATTAGTGGTTGAACGATGTTGACATGTTCAGATACCTTTGTCTTCTGTCTACTGAAGACATTCTTTGACCTGTCAAGACGTTAATTTATTAAAAAGAATTCTGGTAGGTTGATGGTCAAGTTTGTGCATAGTTGATTCTGTTTTCATGGTGTAGGCACCAGATGATGGTTATTGTAATGTCTGAAATCATTCAGGATGACCTTACATCACCCACTTACTGATGTTGTTCTTACTTATGGCTTCTACCACCTTGGAATAGTATAGTGACATACTGAATGATTACTGTGTTGATACCCATTGAGTGTGTTGAACCCTTGTTAGAAACTGGTGAAATGTCCCCTGATCTGAGTCTTAGTTGTCTGGTGAACTGTCATTATATGTGTGACTGATTTCTGGGAAATCATGGGTCTATGCATCAGAACTGTTTTCTTCAACAACCTTGCATGCTTTGTTACCTGTGTTGTGAAAAATAGCCTTTACAACTGTCTAGAGAGGCATTTCAGTTCCTTTTAATTCTTTGCACATGTGCATGCAGTTAACCTACTTACAAATATCACTAGAACCACATACATGCCAGTCATCATTCATGCACACACATATGTTAACAGTTTGTATTTTGAGAAATTGAAGTCTTGTATTGTAGTAAACACCAGATGATGGTTTTTGTAATGTCTGAAATCATTCAGGATGACTACTTTCATCACCCACTTACTGATGGTGTTCTCGCTTTTGGCTTCTACCACCTTGGAATAGAATAGTCACATACTGAATGATTACTGTGTTGATACCCTTGAGAATGTTGAACCCTAGTTAGAAACCGGAGAACTGTCCCCTAATCTGAGTCTTAGTTGTCTAGAGAAATGCCATTGTATGTATGGCTGCTATCTGGAAAATCATAGGTCTATGCATCAGAACTGTTTTGTT